GGGGCAGCCCGCACCCTTCTGTGCGCTGTTCGACGGGGGCCGGTGGCTCCCTTCTGAGCCGTCCCCCTTCAAGGTGAAGGTGAGGCGTGGGGTCTTCTTTAAAAGACGTGTTTCAAAAATAAGCAGTGTGGCTTCGGCTACCGAGCTTTCCACTTAGTAGCTTTTTCTTAACGGAACGAGTAAATCTCGCCCAGCGAGCTGAAGAAATACGTGCAGGCGGAGCACAGCTACAATTCCACGTTAAAAACTTCACAATTGCATTTATACAGCTGCGGTAGCTGTTTCTGTCCGCACACACTCCGATTGCTGGAAAGGAAAGGAAGAGAATGCTTGTTCCTGCTCTGGACATTAGGATGGAGGAACACCTTTAAAGATGAAATTTCTCCTGGTGTAAATGTAGAACTTTAATTAGTGGCCAGTTTATCAGATTGGTGGTGCAGAAAGCAGCAGTATAGAAGTGGTGGTTTAATATGTCTTATGTTCCATTTTATTATTGTGAAGGTAAAGCGTGTCTAGAAATATGTCTTACTCTCCTCGTTTCTCCTGCTACCTTGCCTTGTTCTAGGTAGTCAAGCCACATACTCCGTTAATTAAGTTCCCAGACAGAAAAAGTAGTCCCAGACCTAAAAGTAAGTATTTCATCTACAGATACAACTTGTGCCACATTTCTTTGCATTAACTATTTTACGTAAGAGCCAGCACACGATTTATATAATAAGTCTCGTTTTTCCAAGTACTTGTATTTGCCTGAAATGATTGTCCCTAAGTCAGTTTGAAGCAGCTTTAGGTGACATTTGCAGAAATAATGTTGTGTTTTCCTCATCTCTTCTATTCTTAGTTGGAGCGTGCGATGTCTGTGTTTTTTAAAACCATGATTATAGCTGGGAGAGTCATCCCACTATACCTTTTAAGAAATATTTCCATGTACTATTAATTAATACTGAGGAAAAAAATAATTTCATTGCAATGTTTTATATTAATTTTTATACCTATATCTGTGTTGATATTTTACAGGATTCTCAATGCAGTTACATTTCAACATCAATGTTACATGAGTGATACGTTGTTTTAATACTCCTTTTGAGTCAACAAAGCATTTGAAACTACAGTAGCAGATATCTTAAGAAGCTCTGTTACGTTATTCTCACTTCTTTAGAAATCATACCATACCACCTTATTTGCCACAGCATTATCACGTTTATGATTTAGCTTTAAGTTTAGTTTATCCATTAACATTACAAAGTATCTACAGTGCCCATCGGTGTGGCTTCTGACTTACCTGTGAACTCTTCAGGAACTATTTTCTGTGATAATTTTCTATCAGAATTCTGTATGTTGTGCACAGTTCACCCAAATGCACCACCTCTCATGCCAGTGATCTACTTTCTCAAAGGCTTGAAAATGTGTTACTCTCCTCTTGTTTATTTCTGCATCGGATTTTTGTGGCTCTGTCTTTTAAGTATGTTAGACTTTTCTATCTCAATCAGGTGCTGTCATCTCATTAGTAAATTGCAATCTACCTCATCTTGCTTGAACGCTGTAGCAATAACTGCATTTCACTACCAGACTGTTGCTTCTACGTGGCCAAACAGAGCTCTTGCGGATCACAACTAAGGGACGTCAGTGCTTGAAAGGCCAGCCAAATTCTTTCACCATATTACTACTGCAGCATGATGGTCTCAAACAGAGAAGGGACAAATGTAGTAGAGACTGTGTCTGAGCTAAAGCAACAGCAACATTAAGTCTGGTACTTTCGAGTCTTCTGATGCTTTTAATCGGCTAATGCATCTATTTCAACTATGCTTCAGTCCGAAACATACAATAGAGAAAAATCCTCGGCAAATCTCTAGATATTTTTGTGGTGTGTGAAACAAACTCGGAGAAACTGTTTCTTTCTTTTTCATATATAAGGAGTGTTACTTTGTGAATCAAAAATGCTTTTCCCCCTGTTCAGAATATGCTCCTTCAGATGGGCTCTCTTCCTCCTTGTTCTGTTTGGGATCATCCCATGTTCTTGAACCACCTGATAATTTGAGACTGTCAGATACTGATTGAGAACTTCTGATTGAGAACTTCTCAGTATCCCTCTCACTTCCCTCAGCCTGCTGGCCACACTTCTTTGGATGCAGCCCAGGATACAGTTGGCTTTCTGGGCTGCAAGCGCACGTTGCCGGCTCATGCTGAGCTTCTCATCCACCAGCACTCCCAAGTCCTTCTCCTCAGGGCTGCTCTCAATCTATTCTCCACCCAGCCTGTACTTGTGCTTGGGATTGCCCTGACCCACGTGCAGGACCTTGCACTTGGCCTTGTTGAACTTCATGAGGTTCTCACAGGCCCACCTCTCCAGCCTGTCAAGGTCCCTCTGGATGGCATCCTTTCCCTCCAGTGTGTCCACAGCACCACACAGCTTGTTGTCATCAGCAAACTTGCTGAGGGTGCACTCAACCCCACTGTCCATATTGCCGGCAAAGATCTTGCACAGCATCAGTCCCTCTACCGACCCCAAGTACAAGTAGTTGCATACTTCCATAGTGGAACAGACCTAATGTTCAGAATGCCGCCTTTGACAACACTGCCCTTTTGTCGTCTCTTCTGGTATCCTCAAACTTGAGGCAGCTTCTCTAATGTGAATTCTTTAAGCCTAGCTACTGGCCCTCACCTGTAAAGTACTTTGTGCACTCCTTGGTCTCTGCATTTCATTAACATTGATTGCTGATGCCTGATATTTGGTGGTCATTCTGCACATCATTAGCAAAATTTGATATGATGTCATTTTGTAATATTAAAAATGGGTACAATACTGCCTTGCATGTTGTGGTATGTCATAGCTGTGAGCTTTATCTTTCTGTAAGTCTCTACTTCTTTTTCACTTGTTTGTCTTTACAGTCGCAGTAAATAAAAAGCATCATCTCAGTTGATCTTAGTTATTTATCTTAGTTAACTTTCTACATAATTGCCTCCACATGCACATTTATGGTACTTTATTCTTCTTCTGTAAGTACAGCTTCTGAGTGAAGAAGCCTGTGTTACGATATGTGCTGATTTACCTTCTGTTTCTACCTCAGTACTTCTGCCACCCAAACATGCCTTCTTTCACTGTCAGAATTTTTTCACTATGCTCTTGATATATTTAACAACAATAAAAACAGGTTGTGAGAGGTAGAGTGTCTTTTAAGTGTATCTTATAATGAATAATATTGTAAATAACTGGTAACTTTTATTGGCTGCTCATTAATTAATTTTACAGTCTTCTTGTATCTCTGTAAATTGTTTTGCAATCTGGGTTGCAGTACAGGAATCTCTACAAGCAAGCGTGCCATCTCTCCATGCTTCAAAAGCACAGGAGTCTTTAGGAGGCAGGTCACCAGCTTTTCAGAATATTTCACCTGTTAGTAGAGTACCGGGTACACCAGACACTTCTGAATTAGCAAGAACCTTACCTCAGAAATACAGAAGGAGACTTATGTCAGATGAAGAGATTGAGTATATTCAAGTAAGTTTCATTTGTTGGTGTGCATTGTCTGTATTTACCTAGGATTTAGCTTATTTCTACGCCTTCTTCGAAGTTTCAAATGTGGTATTGCGTTGTAATTCTTGGTAAGGGTGCGCTTGCAGCTTTTTAAGCTGTAGTGCACAATGGCCAGTCTACAAATTCTTAATACACAAGGGACCCAACCCTCTCTAATTGGCAACTCGTGATGTCACCGAGTAGAGAGATACAGACTTAAAACCAACGTGCAGGTAGCTCGCGATAGTCGTAGCCTGCGTTCATCACCATCGCTACCCGTTTTGTAACAGCTGTTTAATGTGTAATTGGAATGTGCTGGACAGGAGCACAGTTCTTGGATTAGCCGAGGCTGTTACCAGATGATTGAAGTCCAAAACATTTCTCAAACTAGTTTTTTGTAAGTTACTTATTAGCAAGTTAACTCTTGTATCTCTAGTATTGGAAATATTTTGTTAAACTTGATAGAAGTCTTTTCTGTGGTATTTGCAAATAACGGCGTTGTACATGAAAGGCAAGAAAAACCTGCATTTGTTCTGTAACAGCTCTCAGTTGTAAACACTGATGCTTAAAAAAGGGAGAATGCACAAAATTTGAAGAACTTGGGAGATGGATATGAGTTTGAAACAAAAAGACGCTTGTATAGCTTTGTTAAATGATAAGGACACTACAGTGTAGTTCTGTTGGTAGAGGAAATAATTTTTCCTGCCTGTATATGGGTAAGGTATTGTAATTAGAAATAAAATGAGTTATTTCCCATAGTAATACACTTGTGACTACTAGTGTAAATTTTCTGACAGTGAGGTAAGTAGTAAAATAATTTTGTTGGCAAAATAATGAATTTAATACTTTTCTGATTTCTCATAAAGATTGTAATGGCTCACCTTGGCTTTGTTTTCACTTTGCACCATGGAATTTGGGCTGTGAAAATAATTCTGAAACTGGTGTTAACTACTGCTTTGTTTGCCAGACCTTTCCAAAGTGAGTAAGGGTCAGGAGGGGGAGAAGTGGAAGCAGCTGCAACTGTAGGTTGCAGGGGCTGATCTTTTTGTATTGTCCCCGGAAAAAAATGGAGCTGTTACTGGTAGATGCTGGTGTTTGACACTCTGTGCATGTTCTTATATAGATTACAAGTCTATGTATAAATCAGGAATTAAAACTAGAACTCAGTCTGTGACTCTAACAGTGCAAAAGAAGATTTGATCTCCGTTTCCTGTTCTTTTTAGGGGACTATATTTAACCGTCTGCTTTTCTTTTGCAGCGTGGCGGTCCAGAATAAGTATGGAAGATAGTTTGTTGGCCACTGTGGAAGAGTGAAGTACTATATTCACAACAAAGGCATTTCGTTAATACTAAAAATGATCGTATACCAATGGCTTCAATAAAAACGCATGTGAAGGGTGAGAAGGTGACACAACAGCTGTATATTAATTTGTGATTGAGAAGGATTTTCTGTTGATGGCTAACTAGCAATTGAATGAATATATTTGATGTCCACACCACTTCAGTGTTTTTCTAGTTAGCCATTTGCAAACTTGACAATAGAACTGAGTAATTTTATTTTTCTACTCAACAAAGATTCGGATGTCTCATTGGGAATGATTTTACAGGCAGGAAAGGGACGCTGAAGTGTTCTCAGAGGTTACTGAGACTTTGTGGTCGTTCTTCACAGCTGGCACAGCTTTGGGCAGGCAGCGGAACCCAGCAGGCAGTGCCATAGCGGCTGTTTTCCCTGAATATCAGATCTGAGGGTAGAAGCGAAATAAAAACAGGTTCTTCTGCAGTAATTTTAATCGTTAACTCTTTCATCATGTTACCAAAAACCGTAACCAAGACAACTCTCCAAACTAAATTATAGCTTAGAAAGCCGACATTGGTTTATTGCAGCGCTGGGTGCATGGGGAATTTCTCCTCCTAACCTACACACAGGGCCCCAGGATAGAAACTTAGTTACGCATTTTAATCCTATCTATTGATAACATTTCCAATGTTATTCTCTTAAACAATTGGTTAATTAATTTTCGGTCGCCTAGCATGTAAATTACTTCGCATTCTCAGTCCTTTGCCTCCACCCCTTTCTTTGGAGTCTGACGTATGTTTAGGATAGGTGGTGTGTCAGTCCGTGGTCTCGATCTCCACCTGCTGGAGTTACTTTTCCCCCCGTTAGTGCTGCACATGCTGACAACCCAAACATGGTAAAGTTTATACATATTCTGGGATGTTTCCCCTTCAAGGATGGCAAACTCTTTATAGGAAGTTTTTCAGCTAATCTCTTTTTATACCTTCAAGGATGGTCATCCTGTTCTCAGACCTGTGCGCATAGAATCACAGAATGGTTCGGGTTGGAAGGGACCTCTTAAGATCATCTAGTTCCAACCCCCTTGCCATGGGCAGGGACCCCCTCCACTACACCAGGTTGCTCAAAGCTTCATCCAACCTGGCCCTGAATACTTGCAGGGATGGGGCACCCACAGGTGCTCTGAGCAGCCTGTTCCAGTGCCTCACTACCCTCAGAGTGAAAACTTCTTCCTTAGAGTTAATCGAAATCTGTCCTCACATCTGTGTTTAGGTACGTGCCAACAGCCTACTAAACCCTTCTGTCATTCAGTTCTGTCACGGAACTGAACTCCCCCATCGTTGGACAGCGATCAGACACCCCCTTGGGTCCAACCTCTGTCCACAATGCACCGGATCTGAAGGCTCCGTTTTCAGTACCAGGGCAGCGCACGGGCCTTCGCTACGGCCCCTGACATCGGCGGGGAGGGGGCGTGGGCGGCCGGAGGGG